ATGGCCGTGTCATAACTTCGGCATCCGAATCCTCGCTGCGCTTGCCGGGTCTTGCGCCGCTTTGGCGAACGTATCCTGTGGCCATTTCTCACGCTCGCCAAAGTTCATTACCCGATCAAGTGCGGAAAGCAGCCAGGGTACGAACGCAGCGCAAGGTTCCAACTAAACGGCCGCGGGAACTCGAGCCTCTGAGCTGTGACAGACAGTTTTATTGACACAGCCTATAGCACCGGCATACTGCCAGCTCTGCCACATTCATGTGATGGAAGACGTGGCAAACAAATGCCTGGCTATGGCGTCAATGCAGCCACTTCTTTTTCATGAAATGTTTGCATTACAAAGAAGAAACTTCGAAAATTTCGTCAGAGGACGTAGCTAATCATTCGCACTTTTATTCAGAAAAGTTTATTTATGCCCTTCACTCTAAAGTTTTCTTGCCACTGGCACATACCCCTTGATAACAGGATTGGCGGCTGGAAGGCGACCGCTCGCACCAGCGACACAGCCTGCATCTCCCTCCCGAAGGTGCTCTCTAATCATTGCCTAGCCTTGACTAGTCGAAGCTCCGTCTTCCAACCCCCAATCCCGTTGAAACAAAGGGTACCCTACGCAGTTGTTTTGAATTGTGCAAAATATAACCACATTAAACACAAATTACGCGCTACCAAACAAACCTCTATAGAAAAAACGATATACTCACTGGATTCACCATATCGGAATCAGCGCTGGGATACAGATAGCCGGTCTCGAAGGACTGCGCCCTTCGTTGCATCGCGTCACCGGGACCAACCTGCACAAAATGTTCAGATATGTAAAGGTAAGAAATCAAATTACCTCCATGTAGCCAACATAGTTAGGACAAAACCTCCTCGTATCAGTATAGATATTGCTTTGAATTAAGCTAGCAAACAAAAAATCTGGCCTATAAGTAGGTATTCAGATATAGCAAATTTGTAAATTAAGTCACCAACGTTTTCGTCTTCGAAGTCTTCGAGACCACTACACACTTCCCGCTGTTATCAACATTATGGTCTAATCCGAACAAAACAGCTACTCGATGTATCAACATACGATTATAAGA